GGCGCGGCAGCGGCCTGTGGGATGGGCCCAGGGATGGCCGTGGTGCCCCGGTGTGGGTCTGAGGGATGTAACCAGGCCTGGGGGCGGCCATGATGCCCCGTGGGAGCTCTCGCGTCCCCGGTCCCACCAAGAGCAAAACCGCGCCATTATCACCCTGCGTGAATACCGAAAGCCTTTTTTTGTTGTTGCTGAAACTTTAAAAATACGGCATCAGACCCTCTCCTGAGCAAAGGCAGCAGACAAGGAACAACGGGATTAGGTTTTAACACCCCCCCTTAGTAGGGCGGCCATGATGCCCCGTGGGAGCTCTCGCGTCCCCGGTCCCACCAAGAGCAAAACCGCGCCATTATCACCCTGCGTGAATACCGAAAGCCTTTTTTTGTTGTTGCTGAAACTTTAAAAATACGGCATCAGACCCTCTCCTGAGCAAAGGCAGCAGACAAGGAACAACGGGATTAGGTTTTAACACCCCCCCTTAGTAGCATGAGTTTCATGACCCTGATTGAACAGCTTCACCTGAGCCATGGCTGAATAAAACCGGACAAGTAAACACCGAACTCATTAGTTTCAATGAGAATACCTTTAAAAAATTCTGCTTTAGGCACAAGATCATCCAGGGACCTAAACCAACTCCTGGGGGACTTTGAAGCTTGCTTTGTGCTGGGAGAGCCACAGCCTGTGAGCTTGGCTGACGGGGAGGGGGAGACCTGATCCCCCAGGCTATCAACCATCCCCGAGACAGTTTTTGTTGTGGGAACACAACACATAATGCTGGCGTTGCCATCTCTCCCTGTTAATCCCTTTTTAAACCTGCTTCTAGTTAACCAGACACTTCTTCCGCTAACAGACGCCAGCCAAAGGCAGCAAGAAACAATAAATAACTCAAGATAACTTATCCACCGTCAAATCGGGGATCTCCACCCTGCGGGTGGGGGAAGATCAAGGCGTAGCCGCATGCTCAGAAGGTCAGAAAATAGTTGTGTATTGGCTCATCCCATCCACAGGACGTTCAGGAATATCGTAGGCGAAGACACGTGCTTTGCTCATCAAAGCACCAGGCGAATTTACATTTCAATATGGCCCTGAACAAACAGATATGTGGGTTGATATCCCTTTTTGTTTGTTCCACAGGAAGGCTGAAAGGTTTAATGTTTCCAATGGGATAATAACTTCCACGGGTGATTTTAAAGCCCTTGGGTTTGTGGCTTGATTGAAGAGAGGGTTTAGCTTTGCGTGCTCGCTCTCCTGAGATCCTCCGTGGAGAAGGAGGGCTTAAAATGAGGAGGTTTGGTTAAAGCCACCTGTGGATCCCCAGTCTGTGTGATCCCAGCCCTCTGGTCTCCATTTAGGCCCCCAGTGCCTTTCATGCAGGTTTAGCCAAACTCTACAGCAAAAACCCCAGAAGTCAGGACCATCTTCCCCCATCAGGCCAACACAGCAGCAAAGTTGCCCCGAGGGGCAAGGCCCTGCAACATCAAAGCACATGAGCATGAGCGGTGCAGATAATAACCACCACGATGGAGAAAATCTTCTATAATGGAAGCTTTTTGTGGATGAGGTGGGAAGGGATGCTTAATCATGGGGGATGCCATGGTTTTAAAGGTCATCTGGGGAAGGCAGGGGGTCTGGGTGTTGGCGTGATGCCCATGGGTTTGCATCGTGGCATTCCAATGTGGTTTTGTGCACGGTGGCGGGTGGGTAAGCCACTCAGCACGCCAGAGTGGGGAGGCAGGCGAGCTGTTGCTCTCCATCCTTTCCTTATTGGGCTCGGGGGGGTTATTCCACTTGGCAGCAGGAAATAAAAGGTTGGAGGGAAGAAAAGCCCCAGGGATAGGCATCTCCACAAGCCTTGGAGGGCAGCCGGGAGGTGACATCCCTTCCAGCGAGCAGCTTTGGCGGCTCTCAAGAAATTCAAGGAGAGGTTTTCTTCTCAAATACAGACCCCTGAGCCATTTTCTTACCATCTGCCCCCTCCCTGAATTTCCTGCCCTAGCAGTGTGGTTAATTACTGAGGGTGGAGCCCTGCATACATGCCTGATACCGTGCATTTGTGCATGTTTGCTCTCGGCCCCACGGTTTCGCAGGGAAGATAGCAGCTTTTGTTTCTTATCTCCTCTGGTTTTCTGCCTCCCTTGTGTCTTCATGTCACGTCTCAGTTATGGTGATTAAGTAAACTGTATTCAAAAAGCATTCCGAGTTGGGTTTCCATGGCGTTTCTAGCCTTCCCTGCTGATGATTTAATTTCACAAACCCCTTCCCCAATCCTGGAGTCTCCCATGCCCTGAGGGCAGGACGGAAAAGCTACAGACCCACAAAATGAGACCACAGCAGTCACCAACCTCCCTTCTCCTCCCCTTGCCATTTGGCGTGGCCAGATTTGGATGCAGACATGGATTTGAGGGGACAATTGCAAGCGAAAAACCTGAGAGAAACCACCTCCGAGGTTGCAGAGTGCTGAGTTGGCAAAACCAAGCACCCACTCGAGATGACACAGAAGCCAAAGTGCCACCTCCGCAGCTGGAACAAGGATGCAATGACCTCTGCAGTGCCAGCTCTGCACCTTCTGGCATAAATGGCTTTTGTCCTGTGTCTCCAGCCACCAAATCCCACAACTTTTAAAACCACTGCTGAGACATTGAGTGGCCTCATCCAGGAGCAATGTCAGCCCAAGAGATGGAGTCAGCTTCATGCCCAGCCGACAAGCTGATGCGAGATGATGGAGGGAGCGTCGCTGGCAGCATGCCACTGCAGGGAGACGCGTGTTTCTTGTAAAGGGTAAGGATGGGAACTTTCTCCTCTACCGAGGGGCCACTCGGCAAGACCAGCTCTGCGATGAACAGCACCGTCAGCACAGAGAGAGGAGGGGGTGGACCTCACCATCTATATAAAGCGAACCTGCTAAGCCAGCGGTCTCGGAGCTGCAAAGACCAGGCAGGGTAAGGAGAGGGGGGAATTTATTGCCATCTTGTTTCATCACACAGCTTGGGGAGTGGCGGTGGGAGGCTGCAGGCAGTGAGCTTCTCCATCAGCCCCTGGCAGGACAACCACTGTGTCCCTATACACGTCCCTGCCAACCGCTGCATCCCAAAACTGGAGTCAAAAGGCCCCATTGGGCATCAGCTGTGTGCACTCGGGCACGGTGATACCTTCACAATTCTGTATATCCACAGTGACACTAATGTCACTGTGCGGTGCTGCCAGGGTGCACCCGACTGGCTCCCTGCCCTTGGTGCGGGCATGGGGACAGCATCTGCCCTGCACCCGGGGTGCTGCTCTTCGCCCACCGTTGCTGTTTCCTCCTCCAGGGCCAGCCCAAGGATGAAGAATCTCCTCTTTGCTGTGTTCTTGGCTTGCGGTAAGTGCCCCGGTTTCACCAGGCCAGGCTGGGATCTCGTCTGTGTGGCAAAAAAGACATATAAACCTGGAGTCTTTGTGCACAATTCAGGTTTTTGTTTAAATTTTGCAGTTTCTCTCTAATGCTTCGTGTAGCACTGCTGTACTCCTGGAGGTCTCTGTGATGGTGAGGCTTTGGGATGCTGAGATCCGTATTTATTTCAAGGGGCCCTGGAGCCTGTTGTCACCTGCTTTCCTGCCTGTGCCAAGCCCATGGCTGATCCTGGCAATGCAGCATTGCCTGTTGCAGGATGCAGGTGTGGCACAGCCTGTACCGAGAGCAGTAATATCTTCTGCCAGACTGAATCAGATAGCTGCAGAAACCAGACATAATCCTCCAGGGTTTTTGGGGGGCTTCTCGTGGTTCACATGCCTGAAAGCATGTATCTCCAGCAACGCCAGACTTATTTAATTCCTTTGCCTGGTGCGAGGTGTGGGGAATGCTGCCTGTCTTCTCGCTCTGCACCAGTGCAAGCCCATCCCTCTGCCCCTCTGCAGGGCTGCTGCCAGCTCGTGGCAGTGTCCTGGAGCTGGAGCAGATGATCCAGTCGGCCACGGGGAAAAGCGCCCTGCTCTCCTACAGCTGGTATGGGTGTTTCTGCGGCATCGGGGGCAGAGGGACCCCGGTGGACTCCACCGACCGGTGAGTACCTGGAAAAGCATCGCCACTCACCATCCCAGTGCAGGGTGTGCTGGGGGGTCCATAAAAAAGCTCCTCGCTGGCAGTCTGCTGGCGCTGGTGTGCTCAGAGAGGGGGTTTTGTGCCATTCTTCAGCCACATCTCGCTGCTGCCTTGTCATCCCCTCCTCCCAGTCACCTTAAATTTGAGGCTGGACCTTCCTTTACCTTCCAAGTATGGTGAGGGAGGTTTTGAGGGAAGCAGTTTGACGTGGTGTCCCTCGCAGGTGCTGCCATGTCCACGACTGCTGCTACAGGACGCTGCGAGAGAGCAAGTGCAGACCCCTGATAACCCCCTACAGCTTTGATGTCACCAACGGAGACATCATCTGCAGTGAGTACCGCCGTGTGGGGGGATCCCACGGAGGTAGGGAATGGGCGCCACTCCTTGAGACACCCCAGTAGGGTACACAGGAGGGCATCCTCCCCAGGGATGAAACCTGTGGGTGTGTACAGGAGGACGCAACATACAATAAATAAATGGGCATTACAAGGGATGCAGGCAGGCTATAGGGGATGAGCACCCTTCTTCATGCGCTTCCCCTGGGTGGCTCCAGGCATCAGGGGTGCTCCAAGGGGACCCCATGGCCGATGCCAGCTTGAAAAGCCACCACAGAGCACCATGTCTTTTCCCCTGCAGGTAACGAGCAGAGCTGGTGCAAGCGAGAGACCTGCCTATGCGACAAGGCGGTGGCTTCGTGCTTTGCGAGCGCTTTGCATTCCTACAATAAATCCTACAGCTTCTATTTCAGGCTGAAATGCCGAGGAAGTATGCTCCAGTGCTGAGGAGGAGAAATCTGCACCCAAGTTTGCAGATTTTGACTGGCTTTCCCCATTGCTACGGTGAGAAAAGCCTGATGTGGGGGCTGATGTGGGGGCTGAGCGGAGCTAGAGCCAGCAAGGCTCCCCACAAGGTGATGCTTAGAGTGAGGAAGGGCACGCACATTACAGATGGAGATCCCCCAGTTCCCAGAAAGACAAGTCGACTTCTATTTCTTGGCCCCTTCCTCCTCTCTTTTCTCTCTTGATTTCATTTCCAAGCAAAGATAATTAAATAAAAGGTATTTGACATGATTCTCTGTGGTGTTTTACTGTCAGAGCTGCTGAGATTGAGGCATTGCAACAGTGGCACCCGGGCTGCCGAGTTTGGGGAGCACTTTTGCATCTCACACCTTAGCCACACCAGCTGCCTGACACCCCAATATTTCCGTGGTCCTGGCAGCAGCCTGAAAAAGCCGAAGGTCTGACCACAGCTGTAACTCGCAGATCTATGGCCAGGTCTATCCTGCAGTGGAGCAATATTGCTGCTGCTGGATCCCCAGCTACGGAAGAGCACTTTGCATCGAGAAACGGGGACGAATAAATGCCACCAAGTAAAACTCCCTGGGGTTTGTTAACAAAATAATGCCCCAGTGGTGAGTCCTGATGGCAGTTGGGTTTTTTGGCTTCTCCCAACACTGCTTCCTGGTAGCTGAACTCACTCCCGGAGCCTAAAACAAAACGGTGCATTAAGGGGCAGATGAGATACAGCCAAACAGTGTTTTTACAGGAATAATGGAAGTGGGAAAATGTTGGGGACGATTTGAGACCCTCCTGTGACACTTATGCAAAAATGGTGGCCAAAATTAAGGCTAAATAACAGTTATCCACAGAGGAGGGAAGATTTCAAAGCCTTGTCTGTCCCAAGGCAGATGCTAATTTAGGAGGGCAGTTGATTAAATGGTTTCTCCATTAGGGATGAGTTCTGCATAGGGGTTGCAGTGAGGAGGCAGAAAAATCATAGAGAAAGAAATAACGGGAAGTTGTGGTCACTCATCCCAAAACATCCATTTTGCTTCATTCTGCTCTTACAGTGGGTGACCCTTTCATCATCCAGTATCTGTGTAATCCTGTGTTTCCGGGAACAGCACATTTAGAGATGCTTTTACTGTTGTCTCTTTACTTTTCCCAAAGAACCAGTAACTTGCTGAGTCACCTTTGCAGCATGGCAGAGGGACAGTTCCCAAGGCGTATGACCCCTCAAAAACCCCAAACCTGCTTCGTTCGTGGCTGCCGGGGTGCAAAAGCTGAATCAGGGCTATTATTTCCCCCCCGATACAGCACCATGGTGCTGGGGAGGGCAGGGAAAAAGGCCCTCGGGCATCTCCAGCCAGGGGCAGCAAGCGTTGGCTTCCTCCTCAGGCTGGAAATGACGCTGCTTCACCGGCTCATCCCGCCCTCACCGGCCCTTGTGCGTGGGGTACGGAGCCGTGGTGTTGGGGGGATTTCCTGCATTCCTGTAAAGGGGAAGGACAGCACCTTCTCCTTTGCAGAAAAGCCCAGTCAGCAGATTTGGGCAAAATGAGCATCCAATGGCAGGGAGCAAACCCTATATAAAGCAAGCCCTGCCAGCTGCAGGGCCCTGCAAGCAAGCGGCGGCGTTCCCAAGGTAAGCGGGGATGGAAGAACGCTTTTCCTCCCTTTTCTATTTTAACCAAAAACCGCAGCGCAAGCTGGGAGCGAGGTCCATGCTGAGAAAGCGGAGGCAAAAGAGATGCTACCTGAGAGGCCAGCCCAGAGGCAGAGCGGCAGGGTACAGCCCTTGAGGGCTGATCGTTCCTCCAACTTTTCTTCCTTTTCCTTCATTTTGCTTTTTCCCCGCCCCTCTGCCATCCAATTCCCATTGCTTCCCATCCCCGACGCAGCAGCGCTTTGTGCCGACGCAATGGCGACGGGTGCATCCTCGCCCCCCTCATCTCCCCTGATCTCTAGAGGTGGGGAGCATCTCTGGCCCTGGACAAGGTGGGAAGTAAAAAAGAAAGTGGTTGCTATAATGGGGGAATTACCCAGGTTTGTTTTCTTCTCCCAGGGCTGTCAAAAAGATGAACACTCTCCTCGCCTTTGCTGTGCTGTTTGCTTGGGGTAAGTGTCCTTGCTTGCACCAGTCCCACAGCTCTCCATGCAGTTGCATCCATGGGTTCGGACCAGACTGGTGATTTCTTCACCTTTCCTCATAACCACCTCTCCGAAATGCGCTACAGCTCTCCCACGCCAAGCCGGGGATAGGTTTCCTCTCCATTGCGTCTACTAATTTTTAAGACATCACCAGCCTGGTACCAACTTGGGGGCCAGAGGGGTGGGAGGATGCTGATGGGGAGCTGGGCATCAGTGTGAACCCCATCGATTTTTCCCCACAGGTTTGTCCCCAGCTGACGGGGGCCTCTGGGAGCTGCACAAGATGATCACGAAGGTGACGGGGAAAAACGCCTTGCTGCATTACTCCTTCTATGGCTGCTACTGCGGCTTGGGCGGCAAAGGGCAGCCCAAGGACACCACGGACAGGTAAGCACCCACTTAAAAACCTCCCTGCCCAAACACATCCTTGCATGGTTTCAAATTGAGGGGGTGAGGGGGGAAAAAAAACCAACCCCCAAAGCCTCAATCTCCCGTATAGATGCTGCCAGTTGCACGATACTTGCTACAACAACCTCCTGAGCTACCGCTGCCACGCCAAGATGCAGCTACGGCTGGCACAGCGTCAGCCCCTCCTGCAGTAAGTAGGACCCTGGCAGAGGGGGTGTCACCCCCCCAGCCCACACCGGGGCTGACCCTGGGCTCTTCTCTGCCTGCAGGAGACAGCTCCTGGTGCGCCCAGCTCACCTGCGAGTGTGACCGCAGCCTGGCGCTTTGCCTGAAGCGAAGCATCGGGAGCTACAGCAAACGCTACCGCTTCTACCCCAAACACCGGTGCCGGTGACGGGAGCTGGGATGCGGGGCTGGAGCACACGCCCTGGTTCTGCATCCGGATCAACCTATGTCCTTGCCTGCGTGCGCCACATTAGTGCTGCTGTAAATTTAATCAACATGATAATAAACAACATGCTTAAACCACCCTGGTCCTCTGTGAGCTGCTACTGGGCAGAGAGAGAAATCCCCTCAACATCACCCTCCCCAAACTTTGCAAAAACTTTGCCTCGGCCCCTGCGTCACTCCAGGCTGCAGCCCATGAGGAGAGGGGTGGTTTGGCCAGCGAGGGAAGGGGCGTAGCACAAAGTGGTTTTGAGAGACAAGTAATTTCAGCGCTTCCAGTTCAGAGCCTGCAGGCCAGACAGGGAGGGCAGCACTCTGGCCTGGAGGATGGGCTGGCAGCTTGGAATCGGAGCTGGAGCGATCCCCCGGTGAGCAACTCCCACCCTTGCCCCGCTGCTGCGATGGGGTGGTTGCATTGCTGCTGCAGAAACAAAAATATGGGGGGGGGGGGCTGGGAGGAGGCAGCAGGCGTGCCGCTTTCTGCTGTTTTCCATGCCTGTAGATAAAGTCTCATTGCTTTCAGATAAAAACTCAGCCGGGAGGTTGCAGCCCCATGGGGATAGAAGCACTGCTGCTGCAAAGGGATGCCCTGGGTGCCAAAAGTGGTGGGATGGGAGGTGGGAGAGCTTCAGAAAGTGTTTGCTTTCAGCCAAGAGGCAGCAGCACAGATGCAAGAAAGCACGGCTGCCTTCATCCCTCCAAATCTGGGGGGGGATTTGATGTAGAATACAGAGGGACAAGGTTTGCAAGGCAGCACCTGTCAACCAGCCCATGCTGCCTGGCTGAGTCTGTCCTCCACTTCTCCCAGGCCCAGTGAGAGGAAGATGAAGATAAAGGTCCTGCTGATGCTGGTGGTGCTGTTTGCCTGCAGTAAGCACAGCCGTTCCCTGACCCATGGACAGGAGCCGGGCTGCAGCCCCACGCCACTGCGGGGAGCATCCCCAAACCCCTGTGTGCTCTCAGCAAAGCCCTCCTCTTCTCCCCTGGCTCCTCAGGTCTCATTTCTGCATATAAGTTGCAAAAATCGCATTTTTGGGTCACTCTAGGTGTGTTCATGGCCCATGGGAAGCGCCCACGCACGTTTATACCACGACTCAAGGGAAGGACCATGGGAAATCTGACCGCCCGTGGTTGCTACTCGGAATGGGACAGCAGCAACACATCGGATGCTTCAATGGACCGGTACAGGCAGTGCTGCCCAGGATGGATAATGCTGGCCCTGGGACAGCTAATGCTGGCCCCAGGGTAACCCCAGGGCTTGTGAGCACCCCAAGCAGCATCCTCTGAAGCTTTGTAAAATGGAGACCAGGCGATGGGCAGCAGCAGGAAGGGAACAGGTTTTAGGGAAGGGGGGAAAGCAAGGCGGTGTTCACCCTGCATCCCAGCCCTGTAGTCAGTAGGGTCGTGTCAGCGACACCCAGCTGAAGGCACCAGAGGATGGGAACAGTCCCAAAGCCAGGATGCATGAGGGCTCTTGGAGCTGGGTGGGGGTTGCATGGGGAAGCAGAGAAGAGGCTTGGTGTGGAACAGGCTGGAAAGAGCAGCTTCGGGGTGATTTAGAGCAGGAGGAGGATGCAAATGCTGGTGGCTCCATTGCAGAGCCTGTTTCAGACAGGTTAAGGAGCAGCCCAGAGCCACGTTTCAGATGAGGCCAGACTCTCCTTCTCACTGCAGGTGCTTCATGCTCCAGGGCTGCTGCTACGCCAAGCTGTTTGCACGGCGGTGCCGCTTTGGACCAATCCCACCCTTCTTAGAGCCCCGGAAAGAAATGCCCATCTGCGGTGAGTCCCCGCAGTCCTGGTTCAGGATGCCTCTTTCCAGACCCTCCTTCGTGGTGCTGTTTTTCAGGGCAGCACCCTGGGTATCTTCCCAAAAAGGTGGTCTCACATGTGCTTTCTCTCTGGTCTCTGCAGGCTTCGGGACCCGGTGCGAGAGAGGTGCCTGCAGATGTGAGCAAGAAGCCTGGCTCTGTCGGAGGCGCAGCCAGGGGCTGCGCAAGCGTCGCAGCAAGTGCCGGGGACGAGCCTGGCGGTGTTGAAGGCAAAGGGCTTTTTGCAAAACCACCTCCAAACTGGTAAGAAAAGTGATGTAGGATCATTTCCCAACCCTGGTGGGTCTCCTCCTTGGGGCTTTTTGGCTTTGAGGCGAGGACAACAACCTTCTTGTGAAGTTGCATCATCATACACTAGATCCAAGGAGGGAGAGCAGCACAGATGCAATGTTTCAGCACAGAAAAACAAGGGAGGGGTGGACACCTGCACCTTGTCTCTGCAAAGGGCGAGACGGAAACCAGCGCAAGCCTTGCAGCTGACGCACATTTCCCCTTGGATCAAGCTCCCCATACAGCCTGTCAGCTCCCTCTGCTTTTTGCTTCACTGCAGACTCTCTTCTCTTGCTCCGAAATAAAACCAGAGAATGCAAAATATTGGTCCTTGGTGTGACGTGACTCAGCTGAGCCCAGTGACCACCCCTTGCAGCCAGCAAGGTGAAGCTAAGATCTTAGCTAGCTTTCCCATTGAAATACCCAGAAAAAAAATTAAAAACCAGACGTGAGCAGCAGAGTTGAGAGCCCATTTCAAACATCACCTCCAAAGCCTGCAAGTCAGGAGCTAGCACTGAAAACAGGGACTTCTTGTGTCCTGCAGCAACATTTCCAAATGACTTAGGAGCTCACCTCTGCCCAGTTCGTGCCTGGTTTCACCAGCTAAGGCACAGCACAGGGAGATACACACCACTGGAATAAAAGAGCCCCTTTGCACGTGCAAATGTTTAAGGTTAGTCCAGCAGCAGCTCAAAGGTCAGTGCACAAATAATCAGAGCGAGGAGGAAGTGGCAGGTCGGGGAGGCGATTTATAATGCTACTGCCCTGGCTGCCTGCGTTGCCCACTGGTATCATCCCCTTCTTGGAGGAGAGGGAGAAGTCAGTCCATGCCACCTGAGAAGCGATGCATCTGCATCCCTGAACTACCCCTATGCTTAGCCCTGAGCCTTCAGGGTCCAAAAATTTGCAATTGCCCAGAGATAAAGAAATCAAAGCTGGTGCAAAGGGCTGCAGGCAGGCATGATGCTGAGAGAGGGCTGGGCACGCGCAAGCTTTGCTGCGATGGGGTGGCCAGGAGCTCGCTCTTGCCTCACACTCAGTGCAGAACAAAACAGATTTCTCAACAGAAAAGAATGTTTTGGCCCAATTCTACAGCAACCCCAAGCATGTCCCCTAGGAAAAGGCAGTTCAGGCAGTGGCTGCTTCCCCCCCCATCACCACAGCATCCCCATGGTGCAGGTTTTCTGCCCCTGCAGACCAATTCAGCATGTTGACCAACAAAATATATCCCCAGAAACAGCAACAAAATGCGATTTCTCCGTGGCACGCGGCAGGGGGGGCTGATGCCCTGGGTATTGGCAGCTGCAGTTCCCATGCTGGCTTGCCCCAAAGCTGAAGTCAATGTCACCAGGAAATATCCCTTAAATCAGAAATGCTTCCCCCTGTGGCTGTAACCCAGGCATCAAGCTCTGCCCTCCTCCTTGTCCAGCACTGTTTAATCCTGGGGGAGATGAGGAAGCAGACAGCAGCCCTTTGCCCAACAGTTTCCGTCCCCAAGGCATAAATCAAGGATCAAACCCTCACCGAGATGGGCGATCACTCACTGCAGGCCAGGATGAGCTGAAACACACTCTCCCTGTTTAAATCCTGGGTGGATTTTAACTATCTATGTATTTTTCTGCTTAGACATCTGAATCTGTTCATATGGAGCTCCAAGTGCTGATGTGTTGGCTCAGATACTTGCACCCCCTGGGTACACTGCAATAAATTGGGCTGCAAAAGTTGCATTTTGCATATCGCAAAAGAGAAACAAAATCCATGTCCTCCCAGGAGGCGTTTGGTCCTGGGGGGTGTTATTTCACATTTGGAGAAGGGCTACTGCAAACCTGCCGTGGGTAGAGGAGCTGGGGCTGAGAGTCTCTCACCTGGAAGCTCAGCCAGTTTGATGCAGAAAAATACACCTTATTCCCCAGTGATAAAAACTGGCTGTGGACTCAGAAAATCTTCAATTAAGGCAAACCCCGGTTCGACTAATTAGCTCACCGCTGTCCCAGGAGCCTACTTAAATTGGCCCAGAGAGCTGACGAGGCACACGGCACGTGCCAGAGCGGGGAAGAAGTTTTGCTGAGGCCCTGACCTGAGTTCCCTTTTCTCATCATCTCTCTGATTTCCACTCAAGTTGCATCCTTGTTCCATGCCTCAGTTTCCCTATCAGCCATGGGCCGGGGTGGG